GGACGCGATGTTTCGGGGACGTGTCGGGCAATAGGGGAAAGTAGGGTAAAGCTGGGATAGGGACACGGAGGCGGAGGAGCGCGAGAACGTCTCTCTCTCTCTCTCTCTCTTTACCCTCGCGCGGAAGAAGAGACGACGATGAATCGCTGGAGGACGGGTACATTACCGGCGCGCAACATCTTGTCTGAGACTCGTCGAACGTCGCACAGCTTCTTTTCCTCTCCCTTTTTTTTTTATCGAGTGCCATTTATTTCTCAGTCCCGGCACGGGAAATAGGCGGTGGCCGTCCGGTTTTACCGCGACGCGCCGCTCTTTCTCGCGTACCCTACATACAATTTTACCGCGGGTTCGGTCGTTCCGGTAAAATTGTGGAAGGAGCACGTAGTGTGCGGCCGCCCTATAAACGCGCCGTAATTTCAAGGCGTGGGTCGCGCGTCGATAATTTCTCGCGAAACGGGGACAGGACACAGTCTCTCGCTCTCTCCTTTTCTCTCTCTCTCTCTCTCTCTCTTCCTTTCTCTCTTCGCTCTGCGCTATCACCCTTCGCCCCTCTGTCTCTCCGAGTCCGTTGCACTTCCGCCGTTTCTTTCCCTTTTTGCGCCTCGATTTGTCAGGGGTATTAATCGCGAACGCGATAATGTCGTTGCTCGTGCTTCGTGCATGACAAACGACACCGATATGGCGTGCCTGCACGAGCCGCGCGCGCGAGCCGTTAAACGGGAGAATGTATTTATTCTACGTGTTTCACGAGCTTTCTACAAATTAACTTTCCGCGGTAATGGATAGACGAAGAAGGACGGAGAAGAAGAAGACGGAGGAGAACGGGGACGAGATGAGGAGAAGGAGAAAGCGGAGGAAGGGAGCGACGTCGGTCGGAGGCGCGCGCAAAGTGCATCAAAAGTTTCGCGTCTCGCCACGCGTTATCCAATTACCCCGGAATCACGTACGCCTCGTAACGCCCTCAATTATCCGTGCCCGAGCCGTAGGATAAAACCGACCCCAACCTCGGCCGACGGATGGAACTCCACGGACGGCCGCGGTGGTAACAACCGGGAGCGTGGAGATACTCATCCGCAAAAAGCGAGCCGGCGAAATCGAGCGACCACGCGCCCGCTCGTTTAGGCGACGCGGCGTTTTCGACGCGTAACATAACAACGAGACCGACCGGCCGGCCGGCCGGCCGGCTTCACTCCTGTTTCCACCGCGACGGGGAAGCGTGAAACCTCCCGCGCAAATTAGAAAATCTCTCGAATGCGCACCGCTGCAGTCCCGCGGATATTTCCGTCCGCGACGACGAGATTGTCAATAACGTTTTCGGTGTACCTACGATGCGCGAGCGAAATCGCTCGCAACAACTAGCGAACGCTCCGAGATAGACAGACAGATAGTGAAAGAAGGAGACGGGGGGGGGGGAGGCATTCGCAGAAACTGCACTGTGTCGACAGCGTTATCAATCGCGAATACGCTCGCGAGATCGAAGGGAATTTCAGGGAACCGCGACGAGAGCCGCGAGAACGGAGGGGGTGGAGGTCCCGCCGCTGCCTCCGCAACAGTCCGATGCACCTGCAGCTGCGTGTGACGCTTACGTTCATATTTTAGAAAACTTTTTTCTCTCCTTGCGGCGATGCGCTGCAACCCGAAGCCTTCACACACACTTAAGAACCCTTCGCGAGGGGCCCGAGTGTGTCGCGTCGCATGCAAACGAAAGCAACCTATAGGCAGGAAGAGACGAGTGCAGGCCGCGGGGGTGACTGCGGCGACGACGACTGCGGTCGCGACGGCCGTAGCGCCGGCGACATTTTCCCCCGGTAACTTTCGAGTACCGGGAATTTGAATCATGCACACGGCTTCCTGCTACCCTCGCGACGTCGGAATCGCACACTCGGAAAAGCCCGGGAAATCGTTCAGTAGTAAGTGACGTTTTATTAATGGCTCTCGCGGGCCTCGCGTTCACTCTAGCGAACGCGTACGCGAATTCGGTCTATCTTTTTCTTTCTCTCTCTCTCTCGCTCTGCTCCTTTCTCTTTCTCACGGGGGGGTGCAACAAAGTGAGAATTCAGCGTCACGCGCGTCTGAAAGTTTCTGCACGGCTCCGGGACAAGGGTGGACGATAAAACATACCGGCGAGAGGAGAAACCGCGAAACAGCGAAGATCCGCGCGCCGTCTCGGCGAGCGAAAGGCGCGTCCGATGAAAAATAAATAATCGAGTCGCGTCAAGGTGAGAAAGAAAGAGAGAAAGGGACGGGGCACGTGTGTTGTGTGTGTGTACGTTGCGTCCGTGCGCCGCGTGCTTTTTGTGGATTCCGCCGGTTTATCGGCCTCTGAGCGAAGTTTATCTTTATCGGCTGTAACCCACGGAGAAGAGGTTAACGTTATCCCATGGCCCGGCCAGGTCGATGCGCCGTGAAAAGCGTAAGACTCGCCACGGTGACGCGACCCTTCGGCTTGTCTGAAGGTGAGGCGCCGGGAAAGACGCACGGCCGGGTGGATGGACGGACGGGCGTGCGGACCCGATACCCCTTCGTCTGCCCCGATCGGTCCCGGCGGTGTTTGACCCCGTCGAAAAAGTTGCTGCGCTCCCGGACGGAATTTCAACTCCGCCTCGGAATTCCCCTGGAACGGGGAGAACGGTTTTAGTCGGCGACACGCACGCGTAGACGCGTGATATTTCACTCGGAGAATGACGAGAAACGACCACCACCCTCGGGCCTCCCTCGTCGCTAAATAATATTTCGCGTAGGACACTCTACGAAGCGAGTCGAGTTAGTTCCCGGTCGGCGCGCGGGGTAAGCGAAAGGGGAAAGCGTATCGCGGCGAGGATCGGCCGATCGTCCGACCGGCAAAGTTACGTAATTTGCGAAATACCGTTCTGTCGTTCGCGCGAATTCCGCCCCGGCTTGTCGGGCTCCTCGAGCGAAAGCTCGCCTGCTCCCCTCTGCCTCCAAATACGAGAGAGCGGAAGAGCTGACGGAGACGAAGCGACGATAACGTTCGCTCCGGATAACGTCGAGCTCCTTCGCTGGATGGAGGGTTACACTTTTTTTTTTTCCTCCTGTCGTGAGTCGCGCGAGATAATGGACGTCAATCGGAGAGCCCGCGAGAGGTTAATATTATTAAACAACGTCGGTTAAGCGGCGGGAGGGTATGGAGCGAGATCTGGGACGAGATCGTGTATTGTGTAAATGTCTCGAAGAGCGAGAACGCTGATACGGAATGGTCCGTTGTGCGCTCGAGGCGGCCGCGCGAACAAAGGCGGCCGCCGGTGGTCTCCTTTTCTCTCGCTCTCCTTTTTTTTTTCTATTAAACGGCCGAGCCCACCGCACATCAGTCTCCGGGAGGGGGATAAGATTCATACCGTAAAGCGGCTTAACATTTGTCCACGGCGAAGCGAGATGAGCTCTTGGCGGCAGGACGGACTCCAAATACATTTCCGCCGGGGCGCCGTTCCGCTGCGGTCTACCTCAATTTCAACGTTGCATATTGCATGGCTGCTCGGGCTATGATACTTGAAAAACATTATTCGACGTATGAGCGCACGTACGATCGCGCCACGGTCGTTCACTCTCGGCGAGATTTAATCTCCCGGAAGCGCTGCTCCAACGCAATTACGGCCTGCGAAGGACGCGGGCCTGATAAGTAAGAATTATTTATTATATCGTCCCGCTGCATAAAAGAAAAAAGAAAGAGCTTTTTATCTTACTGTCGCGCGTGTACCTGCTTCCTGTGACGCTGAATGCTATCTCGACGGAAGTGTTGTTTACTCGGACGGTTATCGCTGCCATCGCGAAGGTTATGCATTTTTTTTGACGACCTGAATGTCAAAGGCCGATTAAAACGCATCCGACGGCCAATGACGAGAAAGGTCGCCGCGCGATGTTGCAAAATTACTTAAAATTAAAAAACAAGATTCGTGGATCAATAATGCGCGGTAGCGCGTGTTTGTAGTGTATAATCCATTAAAACGCAGAGGGGGCGGGGGGGGGATCGGAACAAGAGANAAGTTATCACGAGCGGAGGAACTTTTTGGATCGCATAAATATCGGCGCGGAAGCTCGCGCGTCTAAGGTTTAAACATCAGATATACGTTCGCGAAAGATTAAGGAACCCGAGAAGCCGGAAGGGACTCGGGAGAATTCATTTAGATGAGACCGCTGCGGTTGAAATCTGCGCGTTATGGCGCGTACGAGAGAGAGAAGGAGAGTGAAGGGGGGAAAGGGGGAGCTGAGAATGCGAGGAGGGAGGGGGATCGGAACAAGAGAGCCGTGGTGATATTCGAAATTGCCCGGAGAAACTTTGAGGAGAGAAAACGCCGTACAGAGATAAAGGTAACGGTGCCGTTAAAGCGCTTCGGAGCTCTTTAACGATCATTAACGCGAGCGGATGATCGCGCGCGCGGTGCCGCCACCGAGTGGAAGCTCGCATACGCGCGAGCGAAATTTGCGACGTTCAAAGTTTCCACGCCGAACGTAGCACGCTGGTGAACGGGGCGCGAATCCGGGTTCGCGCCATTCAACCATCCCCGCGCGGGGGGTAAGTGACGCGGGGAACGGCGGTGTCGCGTAAGAAGCGTGAAATTCGCGGAGACGATGAGACGGGTAGTCCGCGGGTGCCGTCGCGACGAGAGAAAGCGCGACGCGCGAGGAAACGACGACGACGGTAGCGGCGACGGAAGAACTGACGGGGGGGGAGAGAGGGGTGGAGGGACGTGTACAAAAGACGAAGGCGACGAGGACACGAAGAGCGGAAAGAAAAATTCGGAGCGGGTGTAGCACGGAGCAGAGCGGAGCGCGTAAAGCCGGAGCGCGGCGGGAGGGTCGGAAGGCGGCAGCAGCAGCAGCGGCGGCGGTGGAGGCGGAAAAGGCAGAAGGCCTCGAGGAAGGAGGAGGCTGACTGATCGCCGGAGTAGAGGAGAGAGAGCACGCCTGCGCGGAATCCCCGGGCGGGCGCGGGCAGTGCCACCGGAGGCCCGGCGGTTTCAGAGCTTCGCCCGGGACGACGAACCGCGGACGAGCCGAGTGCGGGAAACCCGGTCGCGCGTACTACCGACCGACCGATCTCACTAGTAGACGGTAGTAGTGTTCGAAGGGTTACAATCGCGGCGAGAACGAAAGGGAGGGAACGGGAAAGGGGTAAACGGGGGGGTGAACGTCGACGAGAGAGCACGTCGGAGAGGATCTCCGTGAGCTTCGCGTTGGTGCGCGTCGTCTTCCTTCACGTCTTCCTCGCGAGTAACGGAAATCATAGAAGCGAAAGGTGCCCTCATCCAGGGCACACACAGGGGGGGGAGGGGTGACACGAAGCCCCCTGCGAAAGTTCCGACAGAGTACAAAATTCGGATATACAGAGGAGACCGTGAGAGAGAGAGAGAGAGAGAGGTCCCCGCCGCTTGCGTCACGGTGAAGAAATCCGCGCGCGCGAGATACCCAACGGCAGCGAGATAATGTGATATCAGTGTATCGCCGGAGAAGCGGAGAAGGGAGAGAGCGAACGCGAGGAGATCGGTGGAGGTGCGCGAAACGACGAGAGAACGAAAAGGGGGTTGCGACGAGGACGAGGAGAAGAGTGCCGCCGCTCGCTCTCGGGGAGAGTATGCGCGAGTCCTGGTAGCACCGGTCGGCTGGGGGATGAGCGCGCGGACGACGACGGAGGTTTAGGTGGAGGTGCGCCGCGAGGAAGGTGCACCCGGCTGGCTCCAGCTGCCGCGTGTTCCATGAGATGTCAGTGGACCCGTCGCGAACAGTCGCTACGCCGTCGTTGTCGTCGTGATCACCATGAGGAGGTCCTCCTACGTCAACTACTACGTCCTGTGCCTCGTGTGCTGGATCCTACTAGGCATTACCGGTAAGCTCCGGAAGCGACACGTCTCGCTCGCGTCATCGCTCACCGGAGAGAAACCGCCGTGCGTCTTCCGCGACCGAGTCATCTCGCGAGATGAGAGGGAGAGAGGAAACAGATGGCGACCTCGAGAGAGAGAGAGAGAGATGTGTTCAAGTGCGCCAGGTTAGGGTTCGCACGAGAGAGAGAGAGAGAGACGACGCTGATAGTCGCTCTCGATTCACGACGACGGCGGCTCGAACAGGTCGTGATCGAGCCGTCGATGTGCCGTCGTAAGGACTGCGGGGAGGCGGGGCTCCGTGGAACTCGCAGCGCGGATGGATCGATCAGATTTTGGGGTGTAGCAGAGTACGTGCATACGTCGATCCGGCGTCGCGCGTACCGTACGACTTTCGACGCGATCGCGATCGCGCGCCCGCGACGACCCGAAATCGCGGGGGTGAGATCTCTCGAGGATCGTCGAGGATACGAGGGAAAAAGGACGGAAGACAACCGAGGGGGGAGACAACCTCCGGTCCCGGTCCAGGACCGTATCTAGCGCCACCCTTGTTTGTCGCGCCGCAGCATTGTGCCTCCCTCCACTCGTTCTCTTTGTCTCTTTCTCGCCCTATCTCAACCTGCTTCTCTTTCTCTCTCCCACACTCAGCCATACACACACATACTCTCTCTTTCTCTCTCATACCCCTTGTTCTCGTTATCTTTCTCGACAACCTTCTCTTTGTCCATCCGTCCTCTCCCCGTCGTCGCTGTGGGATCATCAACGTGTCGTCTCGATGATTCCGTCATCGGGGGACGAAGACGAGGAGGGTGACGACTACGACGGCGGCCCCGCGTTCCCCCCTTTTCTCCGCCGTGGCGTCGTTCAGGGACGTGTCTATCGATTTCATCTCGCGGCTGCATCACCGCGATGCGGTCGTGTTTTAAAGCCAGGCTCTCGTGATACGAGAACAGCGTCGTCGTGTGTCGTTCTCTCGAGTGACGCGCTTTATATGCGTTGTTACACGCGCGTACTATTTACGAGATGGCCGAGCTATCGTCGAGACGTTTCGCGACAGGCGAACGACTCTCCGTGTCTGTTCGTAAAACGCAGAAACTGCTCGAAAGGGCCGAGCTATCCTCGAGTAACTTTCGAGAACAAGCGACTGGTCGATAAACTATCGTTTAACCGGGCTCAGCTCTTGCCCCCGATATTTCGAACTCGGCCTCTCTCGAACCGCGAGAGGGACGATTTCCTTTCTTCGTTCCCAGCGGAGTGCTCATCTCGGAAAGTTTTTATCTCGGTGGAACGAAACTAAGAAGCCAGCTCCGGTCAGCGTCGGTTTTCCCAAAGGTCAGCGGTATCTCGCGTCGTTGGTTAAGCGAGACGACGCGATCACCGTTCGCGAAGAAGCATCGCGGACAGGCCGATTAAAAGATGACGAGCCCGCGTCTCTTCGGCGAGGCATGATCAATTCTGGGGGCAACGGTGCGCGAGCGGAAAATCCGAAGCGGCGATAAAATCGGATTATCAACGTGCAGAGCTCGGCGGCGGCGTCGTCGCGCGTCGTCGGCCAGCTTATCGATCGCCGCATCGATGCAATCGGCTCGCAGCCCTCCGACGTTGCCGCGACCGTTTGTCGGATAATTTACTCCCCGGTCTTAGTTGGCCGGTCTCGAGTACGCGTGTAGTTTCCTGTCGACGCGACGCTAACTGAAAAGCACGCTAACTGCTCTTGACTACGAGAGCACGAGGAGTTCGCGCAGTTTCAGCAGACCGATAATGGCGGGATTATTCCGGCGTCGACTCCTCGATGCCGTGTGTGTGCACTCGCGGCACCTTCGATCCCAAGTACGTTAACTGCCGAGCGCGCGAATGAGAGAGGCGTGTGTAATATTGGTGTACGGAGCGTTGATTATACCTCGCGGTGATTAACCGCGAACCCGCTCCGGAAATGGAGAAGTTCGACGCGCTATCGCCGCGTCTGCCACCGTTCGTTCCTGAACCACTTACCGCGAGACGCCGCGTCTCGGGCGGCGCGCGCTTTCCTATCTCTCTCTCTCTCTCTCTCCCTCCCTCGTTCTCGTTTCTTCTCTCTTACGCGAGGAAAACGCGCTCCGCTCGCCACTCACGGAAATTTCGGATGTATAAAACAAATTTATGGAACGTAAATGCGACCTCAATGGGCACGTAGGCGGCCTGTCGCTCGCGCGGGAGAATGTACTTTGGAAATTGCGTTTCTCCTCGAAAGGGAAGCACGAAGTGACAGCAGTTCCTGTTTGTTCGCGTTATATTTATAACACCCGCGCATATATTTATTTCGTGCGCGTGTGTGTGTGTGTGCGTGTGTGTGCGAAGGGAATTATATCAGGCACGGATATGGGAAAAAGGTTATTATTTTTATGTAAATGTCACTTACGTGTCTTCGGATTAATCTTGGCACAAGGAACCGGATTAAAATTACCCGCTCACGTCATAAGGATATTTCAATATAAGAGACCGTCGTTGTCGTCGGTGGTCGGCGAAGGGTTATTATAGAATCGCGTCACGTCTCGCCGGGAAATAATCTTTCAGGGGTCCAAAAACGGGGATTTATGCGGCAGTTTAGTACACGATGACGTCATAAAAGTGCACGGGCACGCGTACGTGTCGTTCTGATAAAGTGGGAAAGGAAACACGGCCCTCCCGGACGCGCAGCTTGCCTCTCTTCCCTCTCTCTCTCTCTCTCTCTCTCTACACATCGGGTAGCTTTGTCTCTCGGGAAATATACGATTTTAGATCCGCCTTCTGTTTCCAGAAAATTTACTTCTTCCTGTCTCCTCTCGCCTTTCCCCGGCGATCACGTTCCACCACGCTCGATTACGCGGCCGGGGAAACGCATCGCGGAGAGACACCTTCGCGACGTATCGTTGCGTGAAGTGGAATAGATTTATAAAAAGGCATTCCTCAGATTTCCGTAATGGTCTCCGTTCCTCGCGACAGGTTCCCTCCGCGGACGTTACCATCCGCCACCCCCTATTTTCATCCCGGTATATATTCTTCCCGGCGCTCGCTGCTCGGGAGCGAAATCGCGCTTTGATCGACAACGGAGATTGAACCGATTCCGCGTCCCCGTTCGCTCGCTGCGGATCCTCGTATTCCTTCGAGGGATGCGGCGCCGCATACGGTCCATTTCTTCACGACACTCTTAAATAATGCACGAGAGAATATCGTCGTGTCGTCGTCCAGCTTTACAGCTTTCGCCGGCATCTCCACGGGGGCGGCGGACAGGCGGGGGCGAACGTGATCTCCACGCACACCCTTCGCGAGAGGGTGCCGGCGCAATCCGACTTACAAAACGCTCGGCATGAATAATGCACCTGCCAGTCGTCGGCCGCTCGTCGTCGCATTTGCGCGTCGTCCGGCGAGATGCATAAATTCTTTTCCCCGTTGTTCATCAACGAGCGCGCTTTCGACCGCCGCCATCGCATTACGAGATCGTACACTTGGTGTCCACGGTTACAGTCCTGCGATAGGACACGTTGTTCCGCACTCTGCCCTACCCCCCGCCCCCCCCCCTCTCGG